ACGGCGTCGCCTTGGCGGGCGCCTTGGTCGCGAGGACCGTCTCGCACCACGGGTACGTGGGCGCAACGACGACCGGCGTTGGCTTGCTCATGCTCTTCTTCTTCTCTCTCTGGGACTGACTGCGCCGGATGCGCAAGCAACCGACTTTTCGTGCTAAAAATAGCACCGTATCCGGACAAAGCCGCTTCGATTTTGTTCTTGCGGTGCCAAGCGCGCTACACAGCAGCTGCGCGCTGGAGCCGCGTCCGTGATGCCGGCGACGCGGTCGTTGGATCTGAGCACATGCTACGCCGAGAACAGGCAAATAAGATCGGGGCTTTGGCACAGGTAAGGATGGTCCTGGGGTGCGCCAGCGCTGGCGCTTGCACCACAGCGTCGAACGACGAGAGTGGGACCGTTGATTGGGCAGCACGGCCGCAGACAGCATGCACCTTCTCACCGCTTGCCACGTGGAACACGATCCCAGAGACCGTCAAATGGACACAACTGGCGTCCCGACAGTGCCGACGGGCCATGCAAGTGGAGCAGTTCGCGATGGCAGCGCCTGCTTGGTAGCGACCTGCAGTTGCAGTAGTACGTCGTTGGCGTCTCGCAGAGGAATGGTAGACGTCGACATGCACGCGGTGGTACGTATACCCGCCATGCACGACGTCAGCGTCCCATGCTGGCGGGTGTCGCCTACGATGAGGCTCTTCCGAACCACCTCGCGGAGCGTGCATGTATGTCCCGAAGAGACGGCTACACTAGATTCGACACCGGCCGGTGGTGAAGTGGGGCGGCTTTGCGCCCCGACACCCTCCGCTGCGTGTCGACGGGCGCGGAGCCTGCGCGCTGCCTCACCTCGGGAAGCCCCCGCTCTGTCATGGAATGCTTGCGAGCCACGCAGCCATTCGGGCGTCGTATCATTCGGTGTCGCCTCGCGTGGCGTCGGTGGCGCCAGCGGTCGAATCTGAACGTGCCACTGTGGCGACAGGCGTGGCCGGGTCTAAATTTTATCCACTTGGCATACAAACCGCATGGTAATAATATAACACGCGTCGCGCATCGCGCTCATCGGACGCTCTTGGCATTTGGGAAATGGGCGTCGCGACGCGAACGCTGCTGTCGGCGACCGTCGTCGAGCGCCGGTCGCTGCCGTCGCGCGGGTACCAATACAAGCTCCACATCGTCAGCGACCAAGGCGAGCTCTCCGTGTGGCACAAGTACAAGACGTTCCAGAACCTCGCGACGACGCTCACGATCCAGCTCCTCCACGATGGCATCACCGAAATCCCGCACGGATTCGACCTGCCACGGGACGACACGACCGTGGACCTCCCGCTCCTCAATGCATTCTTGGTCGCGGCCGTCGAGACAGACCTCGACTGGGGCATCCGCATTGACGCGAGCACGGTCGTGTACAAGCCCAAGCACCGGCCCTCGTCGTCGTCCTCGTTTTCGTTTGTCGATCGCAAGGCGTCCATGGCCCACCACGACGATGCGACGCAGCGCGTTTTGGTCGAGGCGCGTATCATCGACGCCCGCGTCGTCCGCGTCGCGCACCCCGAGACGATGAACGAGTACGACGTCGTGCAGTACTGCCTCGCGCTCGAGACGCGCGCGCACGGCCCGATGCGCATCTGGCGACGCTACAGTACCTTCTCGAGCCTCGCGACGTCGCTCCAGCGGCAGTGTCCACGCATGCGGCACGAGCTCGACGTCCCCGAAGCCGATCTGCGCAGCTCGCAGCTCTCGGCGTCCAACATTCAGTCGCGCATCGAGGTCCTCAACCAGTTTTTGCTCGTCGCTTGCAAGACATCGTCACTCGAGTGGGGCATCCGCATCGACGCCGACACGTGCGTCTACAAGCGCAAGGTCGTGGACGAGCCGCGTATAGGCGTCGTGCTCTACGAAGAGCCGACGAAATCGTGCTGCGTCGCCGAGACCGTCTCGCTCATCTCGGCCAAAGTCGCAGGCTTCCGCGTCGGCGCCCGAAAGGACGCGGCGGGCCACGCCTCCGTCAAGTACAATCTGCAGATGGACTGTCTCTCGAACCTCGGCGGTATCTGCACGTACTCGATTTGGCGGCGGTTTGCCACGTTTGAGGAGCTCGCCAAGTCGGTCGCGGGCCTCGCGCCGCACATTCCGTCGCTCCGCGCGAGCGACGACGAGCACCATGATAAGGCGCTCGTCCAGCGGCGCATCGACGCACTGAACCACCTCTTTGACGTCCTCTCTGCCTGCGATGAGCTCGAGTGGGGCATCCGCGTCGACGCCGACACCACTGTCTACAAGCACCGCGTTGTTTAGTGTTCTAATCTTATTCTGTCTCGTGTCCAAGCCTGTTTTCACACTGTCATCGCCTGGGAAAGACACTGTAGTACATATATTCTGTTTTAGACAGCGCCACTCAAACAGTGTTTGATGGGCGGACGACAAAATGATCGATCGAGTCGATTAGAAGAAGGCAAGGTTGCGCGGAAGGCACTGCCAAAAGTGAGCGTTGAAGCGAAAGCACGTATCCTCGTCGCGGCAGGCTTTGCCATTCGCGTCAAAGCCGTTGTTGCTGCCACCGCACTGCGCGTACGTCGGGAGGTGCGCCGCGTCGGTTGCCGTCGCCTGGCACTGGGCGTAGTGCTCATTGACCGTCACGCACGCCGCACCGGCCGGGCACGCTCGCGAGCCAGTAAAGTCCTTGCCGCCGCACTGCGCCCAGAGACCAACGTGGTCGGCTTGCGCGTGCATGGCCGAGCCCCACGTTGGTTCGCAGACGAATTTGTCGTGGTGGCTGCCCCGGGGCACACACTCAAAGAGCGCCGACTCGCAGCAGCGGCTCTCGGCGCTGCAGGCGCCGTAGTTGACGCCGCACGAAGCAGCAGCGACGCTCGAGAGCGCAAGCAGAAGAAGCGACGTCGGCTGCATGATGCAAGTGGGAAAGTGACGTCGGGGGTTTTGGCTGGCTGGGCTTCAATTTGAGACATCTTTGGGAAAGGATCAGGTGATATACACCCGAGTCCCACTCGAGTCTCTTCGACATTTCGTTGAAGAAGAAAAGCGACTCTTCCTGCAACAGAGCTCGCCACCAGTAACGCAGGCCCTACGGCAGCTGCGACCGCCACCAGCTATCATCCGAAAGACATTCAAGGTGAGAGATTCGTACCTCAAGACGAGAATGCAGATGCAGTCAGAAGCGCCAACCTGCAAATCTACTCTACTAGTACGGGAATACATATCGGTACCTGTAATCCACGCTCGTACAGTAAGGGTACGGTGTGTGTGCACCTGCAGGAGGCGAGAAAGGTAGACATGAGGAACATGAGGCTCACTCCGACTCCGAGAGGTCGGGTGAGTCCACGGGCACGTGCACAGTCCCCACTGGGATGAGTGACATCGTCCAATCCTTGAACACATTGCAGCAGAAATGGAGAAGCAACAAGACAACTGCCATAATGCAGAAGGAGACAAAAGAGACTGCGAGTCTCTGTGTACATATTGCACATATCGAGCTACACTGTGCTTTTGTTGCGCTTGATCGAAAACCGAGACGCAAACGACTGTCGTGGCGCGTCTTTCTCATCGCTAAACGAGTTGGACGACGCGCGAAAGCCCGCGATCGAGACCGTATCACGCGTCGTCGACGCCGTGTCCCTCGACGACGCCAGCGAGTCTCTACTATCAATGACTCGCGCCCAATCGCGATCGACTCGCGGTCCGCACCCGACGACGACCGCGTCCGGCGCTTGTAGACGCACGTGTCTTGGTCGACACGGATACCCCACTGGAGGTACTCGGCGCGCGTCGCGGCTTCGAGGAATTCGTTGAGTTTCGCAACGCGGTCTTGGATGATTTTCTCGCTGAAGTTGCCAAAGAGCTGCTTGTTGGGGAGCTCGGGAATGTCTTTCTTCGGTACCCGTTCTTGGTCTGCAGCGTTGTCGCGAGGTTCCGGAACGTCGAGTACCGGTGCCACACAAAGAGCGTGCCACGGCTGTTGGTCTCGATCTGGAGCTTGTACTCGACAAACTGACGGCCTTCGCGGAACGTAATGCGGCTGTCGACCACCTAGTGTAAGCAATGAGAGCCTGACGCATCATTGAACCAGCGGCACCTTGGCTGCAATCAGCGACACTTCTTCGCTTCGCGCAACCTTGTTCTGCAGCAGCATGAGCTCGTGCTTGAGCCGATCGTTCTCCTCCTTGAGATCCGCGTCCGCGTACTCGTGCACATTTTGCGCTAGCTTGGTCTTGAGCTCCTTGTTCTCCTTCTGTAGGTACTCGTTGAGCGCCATCGCACCCTCTGCAGCCTCGCGCGCTTCGAGTGCGAGTGCCTCTGCTTGGCCCACGCGCGCCAGTAGCTCTGCGTGCGAGCTCTTCTCGATGAGCGACTCGTGGTAACTCGGTCGCGGGGACGCAGGCACTTCGTCTTCGTCGTCTTCCCACGCCATTCTCTACAAACGATCGTTCTCATGCAAGAGACTCGCAGGAGCAGCGTACCTTGGCCGATGCGGCTTGGAGCTTGGCTGCGCGCTCAAGTTGCGTCTGGGCTTCGGCTTCCGCAAGGACACGAAGCCGCTCGGCCTCCTTGCGCTCGCGCTCAGCAACGAGGAGGACGCGGAATGCGCGGCGCTGTACGAGGCCCCGCCAACGCGCTTGCGTGCCCAAGACCCCACTTCGAAGTGTAAGGAACTGACGCCGCGCGCGCACGCCAGCGACATACGCCAGGAGGTGGGCTTGGAGCACCAATATGGCGGCGCGCATACGGCGGTAGCGGGCGCGGGCTGCGTGCATTTGCAGGTTGCGCTGGAGGCAGAGTGCAAAGCTGCGGAGGAGCTCGTTGCGCCGGTCCTCGAGCTGTTGCAAAAGGCCGGACGAGAAGTAGACCTTGGTCCGACCGATCGCAAAGCGGGCGTTCTTTGTCGACGTCGTCTCGGGCAAGAGGCGCTGGAGCAGCCCGAGCACCATGGCCTCGGGCGGCGCCGTCCGGAGCTTGGACGGGCAGATGATCGCGAAGCGAGACGTAAACTCCTTGAGCGAGAGGCGGTTCGGGAACGCGGCGCGACTGATGCGAATCGCGGCAATGACACCCGGCACACCGGAGCTGGTCCACGGACCATGTGCCGATCAAACTCGGTCGCACTCTTGTTGGCGTTGGGCTTG